AGCCTGCGATCACGTGGCCAGCCAACATCTCTCTCCTCCCTGCGCGCGCTGTCTCCCCTCCTCTCCCCCCACCGCCTCCCTCCCTCCCTCAGTATGAAGACACTTCCAGAAGTGTCCTGCCTACAGACGTCATTCTCCTCCCGTGTGTTTACTTACATTCGTCGCCCAGAAGGTTCGTGCCCTATGTGACCTTTCCGCTCTTCCTAGGCCAGGTGGCTCAGCAGTAGAACAAAGCAGCTCGCAGTTTGGAAGGTTGCGAAGTCCAATCCTGGTTTGAGGTGGTTGACTAGGAACCATGAATCATCCCTCTATGACAGCGGTCGGGAACCTATGGCTCGCGAGCCATATATGGCTCTTCCAGTGACGGCATATGGCTCCCAGACAATTTTGAGTTGAAAAAAATAATAGTAAAAAAAAATGAAAAATCAGTTTGGAACTGATTTTAAAATACTTGTGATATTGTTTAATACTACGGTGTCATTTCAAAGTAAACAGAAATTAGTTTTGAAGATAAATTTCACGGGTCACGCCTGCATGAAGCTCAACCTCACCACGTATGAACCAGACAACAAGGCCATCAGCAACACCATATAGCACCAGAAGTCGCATTAAAAGTAAGACATATTTAATTTATTATACGTTAAAAATACTATATGGCTCTCAATGAAATATATTTAGAAATATTTGGCTTTTATGGCTCTCCCAGTCAAAAAGGTTCCCGACCCCTGCTCTCTGGTCTATAAAATCAGTACCACTTTGCAGTGACGTCAGCAGTGGGGTTGTCCTTCTGAGCGAGAGAGGACGTTCACCCCTGTCACAGAAATGTGGAATTTCAAGAGCCAAGTCGGGCTCTCAATGGATGACGTGCACCGCTTTTCATTGCTCGTTTGAGCAGGTAACCCACCTTTGACTGTGTTTATTCGACTTCCCATACCGGGGCTTCCGCGGATTTCCTCGGGACCCCCTCCCTCACCCCCCGTGGTGTTTTCTCGGTGTCCTCGTAAGATCCGTCTTCACCTGCACAAGGGGAGCTGCCGCAACTCGATCTGGACCGTGTTTATTTTGGTTTTTCTGTTTTTAAAATCGGTCTCCCGACACTGCAAGCCTCTTAGCATCGACCGGACCCACGCGGCCCGAGTCGACTCACATTCCGTCATCCTAGGCAGCCGTCGTGAGATCTTCCTTCATCCAGCAGTGGAACACATCCTCTGATTTAATTTCTGCCACCAAATTCCTACGTCATGGTCTCATCTTGAACCGTCTGGACTACTTCTGTAATTATCTTCTTCTTTGTCTCCATGCCTCTGCCCTCACCACGCTCCAACAAATTCAAAATGCTTCTGCCCGAGTTGTTTTCAATCTCCCCTTTAATGTTCACGCTTCACCTGTCCTCCACCTCCAGTGGTCTCCCCGGTCTCTTTTCAAATACCCGATGGAAAATTCACGCAACCAGCGAAACGTCACAGTGTTCAAGTTGTAAGTGTTGCGGGTTTACTCTCCAACACACCGGTGTGCGGAAGCAGTAACTAATTGCCACGTTATTTACGTGACAAACCTTACGGGTTTGCTGTGTCAGGCGGTGGTGGGTGAACGACACATCGTTACTCGATCTAACCCAAATAAATCTTTATTATGAATATTTTATGGGTGTTGTTTTCGCCGTGCTATCCGTACTGTCTCTCGTGTTTTCTCTCCCATACATCCTCAATGTAACATTCGTAGCCGGTTCGCGTACACTGAACAAAAGTTGATCCTTTTACACGAACCATGGGCCCTGTTAATAGCTCGTCTGGATTAGCGGATGGCGCCTCTGATGCGTCGCTTAACCCACTGGGCTCCACGGCATCATTGACGTCTCTCGTACAGCAGATGGCGCGCTTAGCTCACGGATCACAGCAGGCGCCCTGCTGAGAATCCTCAGTGCCGTACTGGGAGGCTCAATATGTGACCTTAACATTGCATGGTCCCTTGCCTACGTCTCCTCTTCTGTTCCCGATGTCTGGAATCCTCTTTAACTCCACTCACTCTGCAGTTGGGATTAAAGTCAAGACTTAAGACCCATTTGTTCTCATGTGCAGAAATATTTCTTTTCACCTGCCCCTGTGGAGAGTCTGGAGATGTAGTTGTTCTTAGACTCCACTACACCAGTGTTCGTCACTAATTTCAGGGGGGGTGGGGTGCTTTCGCCGATAAGACATCATCAGTATGAGGGCCACCACGCATTTGAAACCATTGTGGTTTGACAGCAGCACGATGATGATGATGGGGGGGAGGGGGGGTGTTGTCACTGTGTGTATTGTCGGGGACCGCGCTGATAAGACATAATAATTTAGTATGACTGGTATTGAGAAGGGAATAGAGATGACTGAACGAATTTAGTCACCAGGCGTGGAGGGTTGTATGGGCCACGGAAATGTTTGCATCGGCCGAGCGTTCCGTGGGCCAAAAACAAGTTTGAGAAACTCTTCCTTACAGGAACAATGCCCCGCTCCCGAGCGCCACGGTCTCCTGTGCACGGAGCATTCCACTTGCACCTTTTGTGGGGGTGCGACACCGTGAGGCTGACCGGGGGATGGGGAGAGCCATTGCAAGCCCCCTCCACGTGTGGAATGGCATTGACCCCAAAGTACAAACTCGTGACCCTGTGGAGTCCGGTTTCACGTTAACGAGGCTTAGCTTGGCGAAACAGCGCTGCACAGTGACAGGGCCGGGCGTGTGTGGAATCTGGATCATTGTTGGACCTTCCAGTCTACGACATTTGTAACGTTGTCTCTGCTGCTGTGTTTACGGGTTGTTGTTGTTAGCACGTTGTATTCATCACGATGCCCATGCCGGCACAAACCTGAACACACATCGGAGTTCTGTAGCACGCAGCCACGAGAAAAAGTCACGAGAAATTTTTATATTTTCACCCAGGTAAGACCCACTGAGCTAAATAGATATTTTTCAGAAGCGACCTGGACACAAATGACAGCGCAACAAAGTGGCTTACCACGTGGAAATGTATGGCAGCCAAAAACCCCAAATTCACGTTGATTCGAAATGTGAAAGGGAAACCCGGAGAACCCGGAGAAAAATCCACGCGACCACGGGGAGAGAGACACGCAAACTCCAAATATACAGGCACCGTCAGGGTCGGGATCGGACCCACGACCTCCTGTATACCAGGCAAGGTAGCTAACATCTCACCACCGTGGCGCCCCGCTGTGTAGAGAAGCCCCCAGTGCACAGTGGAGCTTCTCTACGCCCTACGCAGTGGCACTCGTAAACATTGATGCCGGTCGCTCAAGCAACGGCAAATTCGTCGCATTCATCGCCATCAACAACCCTCGCCACTGTCATTGTTGTCATTGCCAAGTGCTTCCCACGCGCTAACAGAATAATTCCTGGCAACAATCTGCAAGGTAAAGTCACAATAATAAAAATAAAACATAATAAAATAATATATTATTTTATTATGTTTTATTTTTGTTATTGTATTACTTCCCTTCTACGTGACTTTACCGAAAGAACCAAGAAGATGAATCCCTGCAGTCACGAAAGCTTTAAATCGAAAAATAAAACAATCTGCAACCCTTTCACTTTTGGATGGGGAATGCTCCACGCCGGGTCAGTTTTGCAGGGCTTGTTTGACCATACTTCACCGCACGGGTCAATGAGGGTTAGTGAAGGGAGAGAAGATTGGGGGGTGGGGGGCAGGATAGAATGGCTGACTGGACATCACTGACGACCTGATGTAACCTGTGGCCAGGAATCGAACTCAGGTCACTGGGTTCATCGTGCATTGTGTTGTCCTTTACTCGCACCGCCGATTAGCACAGGTTGGCTCGGCATGGTGTGAAATTAGTTCGACATATATACAATGTGCCAACGACCGTGGTGTGGCTCCATAAGTTAAGCGCAGTACTGTGTAGTATTGAAATTGACGTGGCGAATGTGTTCCAATAGTTGGTGTCGGTTAAACAGGGCAGAACATTGCGTGCAATTCAATTGAAAGCCTAAATGTACGCTCTTGAAACATGCTTAGAAAATAATAAATAAATAAATAAACTTGTTTGGAATGCGTGAAAATAATGTCCCTGTGTTTACACAATAATCCGAAGGAAATCCTGTACAAACGAGGCAAGGTAAATTGTCAACAACAAACGCGAGACGGTTAAGAACTGATACCAAAATAAAACGGTGTCGTTGGCTGGATCGAATCGCAGGCCCTGACCCTGTGATGCAACCCGGGCTCTCAAGTGCCGCGAGTCGCTGGTCCTCGCCACAGTCACCGATGTGAGAGTGGCCACCATAAAACCCGATCGCGTGACACTTGCTTCTGTGCCCTATGTTGGCTAAATTCTATCTCCTGAGCATTTAAAAAAATATATCGGTTTGTAATGAAACAAACTTCGCTGTTCTCGCGATACACATGCATGGCGCAGAGCTCTGCCGCCGACTGTTTTGCACGGATATTGCTTGAAGGCATCTTCGAGGTAGCCCTGTAATTGCCTCTTCCGTGGGCCATTCACTAAATTAAACGTTTTATTTTGCCAGGTAAGGCCCACTGAGCTACATATCTCTCTTTATCAGAAGCCACCTGGCCACACATCAAATGATAGCTCAACGAAGTGACTCATCATGTGGACATTTATAGCAGCCACATACTCGAAACGCATTTTGATTGTGAACGTGGAGGGAAGACCCGGAGAAAAATCCACGCGACCACGGGGAGAACATAACACTGCTCAGCAAGGGATCCATATGCATGTATCTCGTGACATGACGCCGAATGCACGATCGTGCTCAGCGTTGTTGTTTTTTTTAAGCTGTGAAATCGGTTTTGGCGTTTCCAGCAGGCTTCAGCAAGTGTTTCCACTGCTTTCTCAACCAGCCACAAGAGGCATGTACCCTCTGAAAGTGCAAACGACCAAAAAAAATCCACATCTCGCAGCAGCAGCGGGGCTGATGTCAGCCCGATCTATATTTAAAATATCCCGCACAGCCGTAGCAGGATTCGCTCTTCACTCATCGCTTGTCCACGAGCCCCGGGGTACGTCCCAGCACGCACGGTGTCTTCCAGGAGCTCCTCGTGCCTCCGGCCTCCTCCTCCTCCTCATCTCCAACCTCCTCCGTTCTTCTCCTCTCCTCTTCCTGTCTCAACGCCTCCTCTTGCCTCACCTCCTCGCTCTTCCAATCCCTTCTGGTCGGGCGATGCCCACGATCTGAGCGAAGCCTTCAACTCCACTGTCCCTCAACTCTTCAAACCTCCAGGTGAGGATGAGCTGCACCTGCGCGTGATTGATTTGCAAATTCGAAATTTGGCTCTCGGTAGTTAAGGATTTGCAGCGGATGACTATCTCCAGTGCTTAAACGCATCTCAAAGTGCTTTGCAAGTGCATGGCAATGCAATCTGCTCGGGTAAAATATGGGGAATTGATAGAGGGAGAGTAATGGAAAAACGTACAGCCCTTTGTCAATCCACTGCTGGATGAGGGCCTCCTGATGCCCCGAGTAACGACAAGGATCTCCGTTTTAAATGCCGAGCTTTTGAATGCCCGGCGTCTAACCGTGCTTTACAGACGCATGGATGGAATTTGAGGGCAAACTCGGAGCTGAGTACGGGGGCCAAGTAGAGATGAGCCAAAAGGGAAGCACGAGACATCGTTGTAAAAAAAATGGTCAAACTAACATCACCATTAATTCTAGATTTGAAGCTTTCGTGACTGCAAGGATTCATATTCTTGGGTTTTTTCGGTAAAGTCACGCAGGTAAAAATAAAATAAAAATCACGACGTTTCGGAGGCAACACAAGCTTCCGTCTTCAGGTGGAACCGTCACAGCCACGACAGCTGTATCAAGTAAAAAAAAAACAGCTGTCGTGGCTGTGACGGTTCCACCTGAAGACGGAAGCTTGTGTTGCCTCCGAAACGTCGTGATTTTTATTTTATTTTTACCTACGTGACTTTACCGAAAAAACCTAAGAACATCACCATTATTTTATTGTGCTTGGGACCATATATATGAGGGAGATAGAGTTGACAGCCCCCCCTCCCCTGCCCAACAACTTTTGACAGGGGGCAGTAACAAGGCATATGAGGTGCCCCCTATAATACTCATCATTCACGGAGTCCCGCTGGGCTATTCGATACAGAACTCCCGTGGGTAGTTGTACACGCAGTGTCTCATTGCTTTCTCTTCACCTGCAGTGTTATTCTGGAGGTGGAAAATTGGCTAAAATTACTGCGAGCGCTTTGGGACGTCGATGAATGTGAAGGATTGATCGCGCCAACTCTGCAGGTTGAATCCCACTGCGATTTGGACTCGGTGATGAAATGTGTCCGCCGTCACAAGACTCTGTCTAGAAACAGTGGCATGTTTGTCGTGCAGACAAGAGGCAGCAGTCGGACATAGGGAGAGCGGAAGGTCTTGAGGCTGGACTTGAAACGAGGGCAGGGAGCCGACAGCACAGACGACTTGGGGAAGGGAGTTCCAAACTCTGCGGGTGATTTGAAGTCACGATCCGATTGATAAATCGGTTTAAAGCAGGGGCGAATTTATAAAACGTTGTGCAGTGACGTTAAACTAAAAATCTTTATGCACGTAAACAAAAATAGATATTTACTCTCATGACTTTATGCATATATCTCGTCTGTGAAGCTCCCCGGTATGCATCGATGGCCAGAGATGGGGGATTTCGAGTGAGTCGAGTCGGCGTTCAGGAAGAGCACCGCAGTGCTGTTCAGTCGGCCGCTTCACACACACGCAGAGAGTTCGTCACAGCCCTACTCGACACACCGAGCTACGAGCATTGCCCACAGCACCGTATTGCAGGTGGGAATGCCAAGTTAAAAGCAGTGGACTTGTAAACATTCACAAAAAGTTGTAGCACACGCTGTTGTTGGCCTTTTGTGGCCAAGACAAGTGAGTTGTGCAGATATCAATTAACTTTCAAAACGAAATTGGATTATTTACTTCCATTGGCCATGCAAACACAAGTTGTTATCGCTAACGTTTTACCGGGGTGGAGTGGGTGGCCTATTGATTAGCACGCTGTGTAATGAACCCAAACTGTCCAGGGTGGTGAAGTATGGTCAAACGACTCCCACAATCGACATGGCATGGGGAGGCCTTCACCCAGCAGCACATTGACAAAGTGCTGTCAATCATATTTTGTGTTTAACTTTTTTCCCATGTATTTTTCCCTCGGTTGTATTTCAATCGTGTCATTTGCGTCGTCGTGAGACGAACAATCCGTTTGGAAATCTTTCAAAGCAGTGAACATTTATGTTAGAGAATGACCGTCGGAAGCGGATATCACATTCTACGTGACCTGGACCACACAGTAAAAAGGCAGAACGTTCCACCCACTTCGCCACATGGAGAGTAATCATGTTGGTCACGTGACCATAAAGGCAATATTTTAATTCTCATTGCTGGAATTTAACCAAATTAAATTAAGTGCATAATCAAATTTGATGTGAAGAGATGTTTTGTGCAATCATCGGTGACCGGGCCACGACCATTAACTCGTTAAACTTGACAATCCAGTTTAACCACAGTTGTGTGGCTAAAACTTGGATTCAAACCCAGCATTTCAGTGGTTCCACCTCAGCACTCGGAATTCTTGAGCCAACCCGCCCCCTTTCTCACGATAGAAAACCACAGCAGGTTAACCAACTGGTCATGGCACGTAGATTAATATGAATGCAAATCTTAAGAGCGAATTTTATTGCTATCCATTGGCGGCTTATGATTTAATATCGCTGGCTTTATTTAAATTTCGTGCTGCAGATTCATGCCTTTAAAATAACTTTGGAGCAGCGAAACGCCAACTTTGCCACTTCCCTGCTTGCTGCAGAGATTAATAATAGCTCTTCCAGTCACAATTTTAGTTCCAGTAATACAGTGCACGGATATTGATAGTTTGTACACGAGAGGCGACGGTGGTAAAAGTAAAACATGCGGAGCTGGATATTTAATTACTGAAGTGGAATTATGCAGAGGCCACGTTTTTTTGTGCATTTTTTTTATTTCTAATTTAGCAGGACTTTTGAAAATCCATTTCGAGCGCCAGCCCCCGTGCCGTGTTTATTTTTCCACCGAACGACAGCATCTTGTAATGTGTTAACGGGTTAATCCACTTCGGAATGTTGGGGCATTGCTGAGCGGGAAAACATGACACTGGATTCTGCCTTTTGAGGACTGGAATATAATGCACCAATGTAATTTTTGTTCTCAAAATTATATTCCAACTGTGCTATAGGCGTTATGGCACGCAAATAAATCCCACGTGTTTCTACTCTGCAGCTAGCAGTGCATCACCCTGTGTCAGAGAATGTTCCCTAATAATGACAGAACTGGCAATCATTGGTCAGTGAGAATCAAGTCTTTTTGGTTCTTTCGGTAAAGTCACGTAGAAGGGAAGTAATAAAATAATAAAAATAAAACATAATAAAATAATTCGTCCTCAGGTGAAAACCACCTGAGGACGGCTACTTGCGTTGTGGCCGAAACGTCGTGAGAATTATTTCATTATGTTTTATTTTTATTATTTTATTACTTCCCTTCTACGTGACTTTACCGAAAGAACCAGGAAGATGAATCCCTGCAGTCACGAAAGCTTTACATCGAGAATCAAGTTTTAATCGTGGGTGTCTGCCCAGTTCCGCACCCAGGAATCTCAGCAGTGCTAGCTCACTACTATGACTCTGAAGCATTGGTGCTTTAGCAAATAATAAGCAATCGATTTAATTTCAGTGGAGGTGGCACAATGAATTAAGATCACGATAAATGCATCAAATCACCTGTGTGCGTGTATGAATCAATGTTATGATTCTGCTAGCCGGGCGGTGGTAGTTATGTGCATGGCCTGTAATCCAGCATTGTGGAGCCGAGGGTTTGTGGATCACACCAACTCATTGGGCATCGATGTGCCCATATCCTGTCGAGCTCAGCAGAAGGAGGTACAGCAAAGCGTGGATGAATATCATCCGTCTTCTCCGCGCACCCCGGTTTTTCCCTCCACATTTAGAATCAACATCACGCGTTTAAAGTATTTGGCTGATATAAATGTCATTCTAGATTTGAAGTTTTCGTGACTGCAAGGATCCATACTCTTTGGTTCTTTCGGTAAAGTCACGTAGGTGAAAAAAATAGAAAAATAAGAAAAAAAATTTTATTTCTATTTTTTTATTTTTATTTTCACCTACGTGACTTTACCGAAAGAACCAAAGAGTACGATATAAATTTCCGCGTAATAAGCCACTTCGTTGGGGTATCACTTGTCGCCAGGTCTCTTCTGAAAAATAGCTATATAGCTCAGCAGGCCTTACCTGGTAAAATAAAAAAATATATATTTTAGTTGTAATAGAATGTTTCCACCTCGCAAGAGTAGGATTTCTCCAGGTGCTCCGGGCTTCTACTCGCATGCAAACTCTTGTGAATTTGCTGAAAACATCTTGATCTTAAAAAAAACCTACTATAATGTAGGACCCTAATAAAAAAAATAACGCCCTTGAAATTGAATGCACTATCAGCATTCGGTGTTGGGGTTGAAGGGTCAATTTATATCGATTGCCATTGTGGCGCGTGCAGACTCTCTTAGACGGGTTCAGGGGTCACGTGAACCAATTTGCACGTGATGCGCTCGAATTGGAAACGATAAATCTCTCACTTGAATACTGCGACGCGCGCTTTGAAGTGCAGCCCTATACCCACGATGCACCGAGTGATTTAATTGTATAAGTGTCAGCCCCTTGCCAATGCACTGCTGGACGACACGCCTCCCCGCCTTGTATCAGTCGCGGCGATTGTTCACCCATTCTTCATCACCCCGATCATCAGTTGGTCACACGCGAGGTATCCCTCCGGAAGGGGTCTTCAGGGCAAAGCCCCCTGCCTTGATGCGTGCACCTAGAGCTGCCCCATGGGGCTTCGATCGTCCGCGAAGGGTCTGGGGCCACAACCACCGGAACCGCACACAAACCACGGCAGCAGATGCGGTTACTTGATGGACGCATGGAAAATTAAAAACCCCTCTGGTGTGCGGATACTGTCGTCGTCCAGAACAGAGCACGTGACCATATACTTGGACTCACTGCCCGGTTCTCAGACACAAAGGGAGGCATGGTCAGGGCGATCACAGTACTCCTGATGCAATGATCTGGCCAAACCACCTCAATGTCAAAGTATAGCTGCTGCTGCTGCTACCGCTGCTCCAATCAACATCAGCCACGCGAAGTTTTGCGGTGCGACCGAATCGCCGAGCGGATAACTTGAGCAGAGTCTTGTCTCGACTCTGCAACCAGCTAAAGCTGTACACAGATGATGATTCGTCCCCGCGTCATAGCAGGAGTTGGTATGACCGAAGGTAGCAAATGTTTGACCTACCGATGTCTTTACATGACCGATGAAAGTTAATTACTTAATAAGCCACTCATTGCAACAGGTTATCACACAACTCACTGTTATTGTTCACATCAAGACAATGGAACCGGCTATGGCTTTGCCTGCTCAGGTGGGTGCCGCGGAAGAGAGATGTTAACTACCTCACCTGGTAGACAGGAGGGCGTGCGTTCGATCCCAACACTGACGCCTGTAGATTTGGAGTTTGCGTGTCTCTCTCCCCGTGGTCGCGTGAGTTTTTCTCCGGCTCCTCCGGTTTTTCTCCGGGTCTTCCGGGTTTTCCCCTCCACATTTAGAAACATGTGTTTAGAATCTTGACTTAAAGCTTTCGTGACTGCAGGAAGTCATACTCTTTGGGTCTTTCGGTAAAGTCACGTAGATAGAAAAATGAACTGAAGACGATTGCTTGTGTTGCGATCGAAACGTCGTGATTTTTTTATTTTTCTATCTACGTGACTTTATCGAAAGACCCAAAGAGTATGTGTTAGAAAATATTTGGCTGCTATACATTTCCACGTAATAAACCACTTCGTTGAGCTGTCATTTGAGGCCAGGTCGCTTCTGAACACGATCTACAAAGCTCAGTGGCCCATACCTGCTCACATAAAAAGTATTTTTTCTAAGCTGTACTGAGCGGTGAGAAACCATTGTCTGGGCTCGTGGACTATAGAGTAGCGATTCGGTCGCAAGCAATCAAGGGTTGAGCAAACGATCAATGGACGTGACATTTTAAATGCGCCACGATCGAGATAAAACCAAAGCTGAGACAATGTCCGTTCAACTTCTTTTTCACCGTACACAGCCAAGGCAAAGAGCAGTGGACGAAGAAAGGCACGGCGAGTGTACGGCGCGGAGCGTTTTCTCAGCTTGGTTTTTTATTGAAAATGTGTACGAAAAAGAAGCAAAAGAAAAATATGAAGCGTATTAGGGATTGACCGCCAACTATATAATGCGATCGAAGCGACAACAACACTCGAAAAAATAAAAACCCGGAAAGTTCCCGGGCCATTTGCCGCGTGCATTTGCGACGGCATCCGTGGGCTTTCCTTTCGGTCGTTCACCCTGGGGGTGTTGGGTCGCCACAACGACAACGAATGGATATAACTGACGTTTAAGATAATGGTTATTCGAAACCACCCCACCCCCACCAAACAAAAATTGAAAGCGATGCAACTATATTTTCACACGTGTAAGTTCTGAAGATGTCACCGTGTTGTCGTTGTAAATGTAACTTAGGCGGTGGTCCATTTTAAATGTTAATTTGGGTCTTTTTTGGGGGGGCGGGTACATCGATGAAGCCAGTGCAACGATTTATTGCCAATATTTCATTGTAAGCCAAGATTTATTTCATCGTAACTTTGATTTAAGGGGTGACATCACATTCCTCGTCGCATTAAGGTGACTACGCTAAAACAAAACAGTTGGAATGTTGACCGGGCTATCGCTGGGCCACTGCTCCAGCTCATCTCAGTTGGAGGTGTGGGGTTTAGATTGGATACTGTTGCTGCAGGCAGCCACAGGGACAGTGATTCACCGCTAAGGGAGAGCGGACTTGGATGGGGGGTGTGGGAAGCGTGGTGCAAGACCCACCCCATCGCACGCCTATAGTAAGCCCTGACTATCGCAAGCCCTGACTATCGCAGGTATTTCGATTAACCCAGTGCAGCGAGTATCACCAGACTGATCGCTAACTTTGACCTGTTGTGGCATCACTTCAGAGTCTCCAAGAAACTCTACAAAACTAGCATCATTTTGACACAGCCGCAGCTCAGATCCGCTGCTGGATTTCGAGACTCGATTTCAATCGACGAGTCGATGCGACGTCACGACGAGGCGTCGTCGCTAAGAATCCATCGCTCACAGACACCCGCATCTGGAGGATTTGCGGCGATTAGCTGCAAAAGGCTTCTCTCACCGGCGCCAAGAGGTTAGGATGAGCGACAGGATGAGCCGTGTTCGGTATAATTAGGTCCTGTGCGGGCTGGCACCGCTGTTCAGAGCTGGACGTAAGTGGCGATTCGGGGTGGGGGGTCAGGGTTGGAGGGAGCCCCATGTGGCTATAATGAGGAGGGGGGGGGGGGTTGGACAGGTGGGCCCAGGTACAATCCAGCAGCAGCAGCAGCAGTAGCAGGGGGCCCCATGCCAGCCACGCTCCGGCAGCAACCCCTGGCACCACCACCGCTCTGGATGGCGAGCGGCGCTTCGACTTCGCGTCACCCGAACACGCAACGAACGCCGACCGTCATCTAGACGAGAAATCGACGTCGTTGAATTCGAATCCGGATAAACACCGCTGCAGAGTGTGATGAATACATGCTGGTAAATTGGTTTGCGAGAGGGGGGGTCTAAGCCCGTTACAAGCCCCGTGATAGCCTCCCACCCCACACGAAGCCTCACGGCGCCCGAAAGTCTCGGCGCTTCTCGCCTGTGGCAGGCAGCCAATGGGACGACGGTGATGCCGCTCCACAATTTCACAGCCTTGGGGGACCCCTCTGCTCCCCCCCTCTGCCCCCCCCCTGCCCTCCGGACATCGAACAACAGATGGGCGGTGAACTAATGCGCAGTGTAGCAAGCGGAAACAATCTCTCCCAAACACTTTTGCCGTTTGCGAAAATAAAAAAAAAGTGCAGACGTTTAAACAATTCTTAATCGCCTAATTGTTTACGGAAGTTTTTTTCTGTATTATTATTCATGTCTATATTCTTTTTTATGCACTTTGGTGAAGATATTCTATTGGAAATAAATAAGCGTGGTTTTAAGAAAAAAAAGGATCTATTTGTCGCAGCACGCGTACGCTGTGATACATAGGCACAGGATACAAATCGTACTTGCGCTGCGCGCGCGTGTGTGTGTAGTAATACAAGCAGTTTTATATTTTTGTATTTTTTTGTTTTTGTGCCACTACGACTACCGCTAAACGTTACACTGTTATCGGATTACGTTGCCGTATTGTTTAATTTTTTTCTCTCGCCATTAACATATGATGCGTGATACATGTGCCCCCTTTAAAAAAAAACTAAGCGACGTACCTACCTCCCTAGATAATGCAACTACAAGCGCCACCCTTCTCTCGGGCCAATCTCGACACTTTCTCTCTTTCCCCCACGCTCTCTCTTTCCTCTCTTCCTGCATGCGCCGAAAGAGGCTGGCTGCAACCCAGCGAGGCCACAACCAACAACGCCGTTGCAATTTTCCTGCTCTTACCAGGTAACCCACAGCTCACCTGTCCTCGTGTGCCAACGCCAGTAATGATCATCTGAACCAGTTCTGGGCCTCCCCTAGGTCTACTCGGTCTCAAATGAGTACGTGGTGGCGACGCGTATACATCGCCACCAGGGAGACAAAAGCGGCCGGACGTGGTGCTGGCCACCCAGCCCCTCGTATGCTGTGACGGGCGCTAACATTTTAAGAGTAAAGATTACTCAATTAAAAATGCGCCATGGGGCACGAATCTCATGGGTGGCACACGAATATGAGTCACGTATCAGATAACTTGTAATTTCAACAGGAACCAAATTGTTGGCTCCACCAAGCTGACTTCACACCAAGGACAAGTCTGGCCAGGTATACATATCCACGGGTTGAGCAGAGGCGTGAAGATTCACATTTGTCTGGTGGTGTTGCGGCATTCGCCAGTGAAAAATAGCTTTATAGCTAATCGGATATCTCGAGGATAAATAAAGATTGTGGTCACGATTCGTTGTGCCATCTTGCTCTCTGCCACCTAAACGCCACAGTGATATAGGCTGGCGCACGCCGGCAGCTCCAACCCATGACCAACTTGCAACTTTGCCCACCTCTTGGCTCTAGCCCGTCAGCGTCTGCGATTTCCCATCTCTCGTCAATCTCCTTAGAGGTTTTTGAGCCTTGCACGTCCTCTCTCGTCCTTGATAAAGTTTCCGTACAGGAGGATGATGCGAGCACCTCTCTGCACGATCCCTAACCCTGTGTGTGCAAAGTAAGAAAACCCATCTCCTTTACATGACGTCTGCGACCCTCCGTTTGTATCCCCAATTCCATTTTAGGGAGCTAGAAATTGTCCAATGGGAAGGGCCAGCAGAAACGCAGCCCCTCCCCCTTGTCCAGTGGGTGCTACTCGAGGTCTTTCAAAATAGCCCCGAGCATGCGATCTCGCAAAAGCCCACAATGCACCATTGCACAACCACTTCTAAAAAAATGACTTCCTTTGTTCGTCCCTCGTGCCCCGTTTCTGTTTCCTGTCGAGCGATGAGATATCAATAAAACCCAATATCGGTGGGAGGGGGGTGGGAGGGGGGCTGGGAGGCCCCTCTGCACCCTCCCCCCCATCGTTTCTGTACGATCCTCGTGCAAACAAGCGAAGCTGGCTGCGACAAGATTCCACAAATCTGGCTGCCACCTGATGATGCCGGTTGTAATTACTGGCGAAGCGTCGTACTCCGATTGTAAATGGCACGTTCTGTTTCCGAGACAAACCTTACTAATTGGCTGTCCGGTGGTGGCGGGTTTAATGACACATTCATATTTACGCAATCTAACCCATAAAAACCCTCTATTATGGATGATATTGGTCGCGAAAGCCTCCTCCTACGTGCTAAACTGACGAAATTATAATGGGCAATGCGGTGGCGGTGGGCGTAGATTGCTTATTTTTTTGCAAAGTCTCATGATCGCTAAATATTGCGGGGCAGGTGGCGGGAGGGGGGGGGGGCTCTTTGGCAAATGACGTTTGTGCTCACGTGGGGTTTCCTATCGACCCCGTGGCACGCCGCGGCTCCGTGCGTGCGTGCCGAGTCTAAGCTCTCGCACCCCCCCCCCCCCACCACCCTCGTGGGCGTTTCGGGGGGGGGGGGGCGGATGAGTTGTGCTGCGCGCCCCCATCCGGCGCGATGTCTCTCAACGTTTGTCCTCCACGTGCCGGGAATGAAAATCGACAGAGCTCGTGCCGCGCAAGCGCAGCGAAACGTCCGTCGTGCGAGAGCGACCGCAAAACAAACAAAAAAACTCACGCGGCCGTCGAGCGAGCGTCGCTCAAGAGTCGTCACCGCCGCCATCGTCAAATCCTTCCAGCGTCCGACAGAAGTCCTCTCGTTTATCAAGCACTCGTGCCGCCCCCCCCTCTCTCTCTCCTCTGCCTACGCCCTCCTATCCCTCTCTCTCCTTTCTTCCTCTCCAATGTCAACGATAAGCAAGTAAAAGCTCAGTAGGAATATGGATGAGCACTGGGAAATGTTCACCCGGGCTTTTGCCGCGAGTGCCCGTCGCGTTATTATCGATAGCTGAAAATTATAATTTTACTTTGGACAAAACGTCGAGGAATTAACGCGTCGACTAATTTACAATCGTTTTTGGGTCGCAAAGCGTTAACAAGCTCGCACGTGATTCAGAAACGTGATTTTTTTTTAAGCACGCGCACAAAAACAAAACCCGCTTGCCAAATGTGAGTCGACGAATACAATGTGCGTGGCTTGCCGCCAGATCTGCTTCGCTTGAATGTGAAATCGCGCAAGTATGCGAACGTTTTGAGCGTTTGCCCCATTACGTTTGGGTTTTTGTTACTTTAAGAAACTCCTGCGAGGGCACATCCAGAAGCCCTCGTTTTTACCAGTGCTCATCCTTTTGAGGAATAACGAAACGGAATATATAGCTATTAAATAAACTGCGGGTAACATACATTTCTGTTTAAAGCCATTATATAAATGATATTTTTTTTTGTTTTCCTTAAAAAAAAATTATAAATACAAAAATGAAATTGCTGGCGTGGGAGATGTTGCGCAGTTAGAAGATCTTTCAGACTTCATTCACGTATTGCTCCAAACCTGAAAAAAATCAACAAAGCAGAATATTTAGAGGATTTTCCACGAACAAGTCACATGTATATAACTTATCTTGTCAGTTAAATTTGTCGCTATGACGCCAGTGATTATTTTCTGTTGTGTATTACATCACGTTGCGTTGAACTAGGACCCATATGTTATAAGAGAAGGTCCTTGGCTATAAACATCTTGCAGTTCACCAGTATTGATTCAAGAAGGCCCGACTCTGCTGATGGAACACTGTATGTCGAAAGCGGTCCAGCATTTTGCTTTGCTACTGAATGTATTCAATCCCAGAAGGCTATCGTGCGAATGGGTTGTAGGAGAAATACTTTTAGAGAGTTCTGGTTGCCAGGGTGCACGCATCGGGGATGAATATCGATGCCCAAAACCCCACAAAGACGTCCATCGAATCGCGCGTGAGAATCAATGATCTTCGCTTCGAACCTGTTGCATTCACACTAGGTGCAGCTAGAATATCTACCACGATAGAATAATAACGGCTCGGCGAGTGATATCGCGACCTCCCCGAGGTGACTACTGTTCATCAGCGCGCCGGGTGGGAGGTTGAATCCGCGACAAGCCCAACAGCATCTATTGTCTCGGGAGAGAGCGGCGAACTTCCAAGCATTGCTGGCGACATAGCGGACGTGTGTGGCCACAGACACCTGCGTTGCACCGTGTATATATTGTGAGAAGCAAATCCCAGTGGCTCGCCGCGGTTCACATTACTGGCGCACCGGATTGTGCCATACCGTCGCAAAAAATGGGGGGGGGGGGGGTAGGGGGAAATTTGGTTAGCTTGTACTTCTTGCGCTTGCTTAGAATGGCTTGTTCCATTTATTCACGGGGTGTGAGGGGAGGGGGGGGGGAGATGAGGGTGAACTTGGTGGTGACCATGGGCAACTTGCGTTGGACGCAGCGAGTGCAGAATGCGAACGCTTTGAGATTGAATCGGGCGAAAGAGGTGGCTTGGGCCCAGCACCTGCCTGCCGGCACACTGGGCAAGGACCGAGTCGAGAAGGTGACGTCATTATTATGAACGCCTATTTCGATAAACGCCCCACGCGAGTTTGGACATCGGACGCAAATGCCATGGTGGAGCTGAGAGTGTATGCCTTGGGTGCGTAGGTGAGCGTGTGGCGGTGATGGTGGTGTGGTAATTCGGGTGATTTGAGGGGGGGGGTGGGAGGGAGGGGGGTAGGAGAGGGGGGGGTGATGAGGGGTGAGGGGGCAGCCACTTGAGCGGCATCCATAAGTGGCGTCGCGGTATCGGATACTGCAAGCTGTCCATTCCTGCCCTATTCTTGGCATGTTGGCACCTGAGGCTCGGTGGGCAGCTGTTGCCAGAGGCCACGAGGCCACTCGGAGCCCCGGGGGAGCGCCAAAAGCGAGACCGGCAGATGGGCAGAGAGCGAGCGAGCGTAGGCAGCAGTGAAGTATGCAGGCGGTGCAGCTGCACAGGGCCCCGTGCACTCGGAGGCTATGGATAGGAGAACGTTTGATTCCTTGCACCAGGGCTCATGGTGACCGAGCTATGCCACACGGTAGAGCGGAACGAATAGACAGCAAAAGTAAAGTGGCAAACAGAAATGGGCCAGATTTAAATTGGAGGATGTGTTTCCTGGACATCAGTGAAAACAAGCTTCATAGCTCATCGGATTCCTCCAGGATAAATAAAAGGCTGATACTGAATATCATTGATATAAATTGTAAATAATCAATTCACATGCGCGGGGTTCAAGGTGTGCGTTATGACCAGCATTTGAAAATCGGCGTCAAGTTTGCTTGCTTAAAACTAAAATTCTCCGTGACTAAATTGGTCTGGAAAACCGATTGACTGATGGACTGAAAGATTTTTATTTATACACGGAGACACGCAATGGATTTCTGCTTCATATAAGCTTTTATCCAAGAATGGGAACGGAAAGAGTTTTCTGAGGCTAACGATACAAAACTGGATAATAACAAATTCATCTCAATTAAAATGTTTTAATGAAATTTAAAATTGAATAAAAAGTCCTTTCTAATCGGAGGAGAAGAGCAAAGACTGCTGTGACTTTTTTTTTCTCAAAATATTTTTCATTAACGAGACTTACTTCCTGAGCTCTGCCTATCTATATATGTAAAAGGCTACGGATGTCTGCAATAGCTCAGTGTCTGAAAATAACCCAGAAATAACCCAGAAATTGACAATTGTGTTTTTAGAGAAATCTATGATAAAAAAATAAGTAAAAATAATTAAACGCGTGAATGTTGAATCAAGATCTGCTAGATCGGCGTATGTTATGCCGGGTACAGCTAGTTTAATACATTTTCCTACAAGCCTGCCTATTGACCTTTGACCCCTTTGTCTATCATGTGACAGGTTGGCTACCATGATGGTTACCATGGCATCTGCATACCCGGCCTACCAGCAGGTCCATGCCAAGCCTCCGCCCCCTGTGCCACCCCCCAAGCCCAAGAAAAAGGTCAAGTTCCTCAACTCTGTCAACAAGGACAGCAAGAAGACCGACAAGAACCATGAACACGGGGTCAATCATCACCAACATCATCATCAGCACAACCAGCACCACCCCCGCCATCGGCAGCATCAGCAGCAGCTGCCAGATGACATCTTGGAGGTGGAGGAGCCGGAAGACGGCTCTGTAAAAAACAAACGGGAGGTCCCAGCTGTTGTCGCGGTCAACAGCGAGATCCGGCAAGAAGTCGGCGACAATTCAGCGCAGGTGCGGCTGAGTCCGGTTATTGAGACACAAGTGACGGTGGACGCCGAGGAACCGGTGATTGCCAGGCCTCCTGTGCATGCCGTTCAGTCGACGCCGCCGCCACGGCCGCCATCAGCCGAACAATCAATGGTAGAGAATGCCAGCAAGACCCAGGAAAAGCAGAAGCCAAAGACTCTCCCGAAACCGGCCAAGAAGGGACTCGGCTGGGCGCGTGTGAGGAAGCACCTCATTGTGCAGGAGCCCGAAAATGCCGGTACCGGGGATGGCCAAGCTACGAGTGGCAATGAAAAGCCCGGCGAGGCCACCACCGCCGCTTCCCCTTCCCAAACGGAGATGCAGCGGGCCATCGTGCCTCCGCTGGGCCGGGGGATGGGCAAGCGGTGGGACTCGGTGCTGTTTCAGCTGTTTGCGGCACGTGCCGAACACCAGCGCCGCAAGGAGCAGCGAGAGAAGCGAGGAGGGGAGCACGAGGGCACCGGTCACCGGGCCTACAAAGGCCGCCTGCCGCTGCTGCTGTTCGGCCCGCGCTTCGACGCACGCAAGCGCCGTGAGGCGGCGTCGCGGCCCGCCAAGAAGCTCGCCACCTTCGTCTTCGACCTAGGCTTGGCGCGGAGGGCCGCGACGGCCGTCTGCGACGCCGATTCCGCCGCTGCCGCCGCCGCCACCGCCGACGCGGCCGCCACCGACAAGACATTCAACCGCTCGGCTCGCGGTTGGCAGACCGATGAGGCGGCGGCGGCATTGGTGCCAGCCGCCAGCGAGTGATGGAGACGACGGCGAATTTGGGGATGGTCCTCGACAAAGCCCCGTCGGCGGCGGTGATCGATCACGCGGAACTCAGTCATGCCGAGTCTTCTGCGGATTCGGCGACGTTGGGGCAAAGTGTGAGGTTTCTTGGCCTCGTGCAGCCGAGCTGACCCTACTAACCTTGGCTCAAACAAACGAGTTATCGTTCGGGGGCAACGCCACTGTTATTACATTGTTGGGTCAGAATCGTACGAAATTAAATTTAGCTTTGGGCTGTTTTATTTCTACATGCAGTGTGGTCGCACATACCTGGTAAGATGATTGGTGATCGCTTAAAATCCGTGAAATGTGAATATTAGCCCTATTGGTCAGTTCAGGACACTGCCAATTTTCACACAAGTGAAAAAAAAAACCCGAGCGATTGACAGCATAAAAGCAAAAGGGTTGTTATTGAGTTGAATTTGCAGTTCGTGAAGAAGGTAACGACTGAAGTCATGAGGGACACAGAGGTGTATTAAAGCTATGAATAGGTGAAGTGTGTCAGTGATAAAAGGAAAACTGGCACCAAAAGGATGTTTGGTGGTAACGTATTCAGTTGATAAGCACTGCTCGGCCTAGTAAAGAAAACTGCGATTATATTTATTTTCTTTTGTTCCCACACCTTTTCGGAAACCACAATAACAATCCATCGCACGCTGTTGTAAGCCTTCTTCGAAATAAGAACAGCACGTTACGTCGGTAACGAGTGTCAATCAATATTGATATCGGCCAAAGGCAGAGCCAGCGTCTGACATCCGTTCCACACAACCTGTTGGGGTTCACACCCAAGGACGGGCGCTGCATAGTCGAGTCGTCAGAAGCCTCGCATCCAACTCAAGGTGAACTTGCCAAGCGTGGCGGTGCTCCTTGCATGCCCAAGATGTGCAGCACGAGACGTCCCCACAGTCACCACACAACGGAGCCGGCGTCGCGTGGGAGAGGAGAGCTCGTCGCAGCCAGCCAATTACATTGATGCTGCCATGCCATCGCTTCCTTCCTTCCTTCTGTTAGGTCCTGCACAGCTTTTGCCTGACCTTGAAGGATCGCTCTTACAGCCTCTGCATTCGGTGACCTCTGGGCTGCCACTAAACAGTGCCTGTCGGTCATGGTAGGGTGGGGGGGGGGTTGGTGCTTTGACCACTCGCCAGCAATGTTAGCAGTGGCCAGGAATCGACCTTGGGTCACCGGGCTCTAGAGCACTATGCACAACGTATGCTGATTTGGATATTATTTACTTGCATGAAGATATTGCTAAGAGACAACTTGAGTTAAACTTGGAATGTTGCTACGTATTTATTTTTGAAAGTGTATTGAATTTGATTTCCCGGCAATGTGCTGCGACGCGTGACTTTAGAGGCTGGGAATTTGCTCGCACTCAAAAGTTCATGGCTTTTCAGCCGCTTTGGAATCCTGGACCACACACCTTACACTTGGTGCTATGAATCCCCAACATATTTCGTCGGGCACAATTTCTTATTGCGATTTGCTGTTGCAAAAGTGCAATTGGATGCCGTAGAACATACGCAGAACGATACCATTTTATATGTTGCGTTATAAACCATTTGCTTTCTTCCCAGCAGTCCTTGCTCCTAACGGCCCTTGATGGGACCCGAATCACTTCCTGTGCAACAGTCTCTCGGACCTCTGCTGACAAACTGTGGCACGTCGTGGTCGCGGTTCCCTCTGACAAGTTCCACTTCGCTTTGACGAGGCCCATGCAGCGTGTACAAACTGATTAATTGGCATTTGATCTCGATTGGGGCGCAACAGCCTGGCATCATCACCCTCCTCCGATGTTTGTGAATGTGCGTTCATCAATGTTGCCAACTGAGAAAATTTGCATCTAGATTTAGTGACAAATCGACAGAGTTTTAAAGGTTTACCTAGCAGCTGACTGTTGTTGGGGGAGTTGGCAAAACTGGCCTTCATCGGCTCACGATGAATTTCTAGATCGGTAGACATGGAAATGGGAGACAAGCGTGTGGTGGTTCACTAGGCCCGGAGTTTGAGCAACACGCTTCCCGAGATAATCTTAAAAGCCAGGACCTCGTTGATCCCAGTGGCCAATAAAAGGCACTTAGCTGGGTGCCATGCATGGCGGGGGTGGTCAGAAGTTCAATGTGGAAGAGTGCTTCAAATATCGCGTCAGCTTAAATCAAGGCGTGGATGTAATCGAGATCTGAATGTTAATCCAGGCATGTTGCCGTGTGAAGACAGGCCTGTGACCTACGCTCCGGTGTTAAAACACAGCCCTCGCTGACAACGGATAACTCTCATCGGTTGTCTGCAGATGTAAAAGAATGATTTTACAGTCTATATGTATGTACAGTGCAATGTCACATCCGACTCCCTGGGTAGTTATGTATAGGCAGATACGTGAAATGGTTGGATATGTGAATATCGACAGAGAATTGTGACCACCGTGCACAGTGTGTGGGTGTTTTGCTTGGTGAGGGAAGATAGGTGACGGTCGGGTATGCGACGCACTGAACAGTATAGTCGAGGAGTTTGCAATGAAAATGAAAACTGCAAAACTCCTGCGTGCATACCGAGCAGTGTCGTGATATGAATTGCTATTGAAACACTGAGGTTTCGCACATGTGTGTGATCTTAATACAATGTAGCTCTTTTATAATAATAATTAAAAAACTTAACCAAACTATTCATTTACCAGGTAAAGCCCACTGAGATTTTTCGCTGTTTTTCAGTGGTGACTTGGCCACACATGATATCTAATCAAAATTGTTTATATCATCACACGTGGGAATTTATAATTGCAGACAAATAACCTAACCACATGTTTCTAAATGTGGAGGGGAAAACCAGAGGACCTGGACAAATATCCACATGACCACGGGTAGAGAGATCACGCAAACTCCAAATATATAGGCATCGTCAGGGTCCAGGATCGAACACACAAGCTCCTGTTTCCCAGGAGAGTTGAATACAACATCTTGATACTTTAAAAAAATTTAAAATTTAAACCAACAATCACTGTCTTTGTTAAAATACGTGCTTAATTGCACATCATTGGTGGCAAAGTTTGAGAAGGGTTATTTATCAAGTTTATGTATTTACTATAACTGTGCATATATATAGGACTATATACAAACTTGTACGTTTGATTGTAAATATGTTTAAAGCAAAATCTAATAAAAAATTGAATGCTACGTTTTCTTGCATGATGATACTGTACATATACACTGCAGAAAAAAAACAATATGGCTCCTGAGCAGGCCGAAGCCTGCACTGGGCCTGAGATCAAATGCGAAAGAGTGTGCCTTTCAGAATATACGAGACAATACAATGCTGACTTAGGTAGAATGTATATGTGACCACATCTTACTGTAAAAAAAAACAGCATGCATATTTATGCATAGAGAAAAATAGGCATAGCCTGGGCTTAAACGTGCAGGGAATTGACAGCACAGATTTCTGGGAGAAGGGAGTTCCAGACCCAAGGTGCAGCAGAAGAGAACGAGTGACCCCCACTAAGTGAAGGTTGACACGTGACTGACAGAAAGACTGGGTTGCTGGCACATAGGGTGCGTGGGGGGACACAGTGTGATGAGAGGGGATAAGTAGGCGATTGAGGAATGATGAGTGAGATAATATGGAAGAAATATGCTGGGGAGTCCATGGAGGATCTTAAAGATGCAAAAATCAGTTGAAACGTCCATGTGGCTGTGGGGAGTTACAGGAACCAATAGCAAAAAACACGTGAATTAAAAAAGATTTTCACACTGCATGTATCGTGAGTGTATGGATTGATGTTTAATCAACAAAGCTGATGCATCTTACTCCTCAGCCTACACTGAGGAGCTTCTCCTGATTGGGAGAAAATGGGGGGACACGAACTGAGGGGCACTGCTGTTTAGGGTGACTTGCCCCCCCACCACCCCCGACCCCCACCAATTCCACAGTGGAAGAAGCCATGCCCACAAAGTTCCAATATCGGCTGGAGCAAGCAACCTTCAACCGTGCAAACACGCAAGTTTCCTAGGAGAGGTTAGGCCATACTTCACCAAAAAAAACAGCTGCTGCTGCCATCCATCATCGCTGACTCCTCGTAGACAAGAATAGGAAGGTCCTGGCAGACCCTGCGCGCTCTCTCTCTCGCGCGCACGCGCAATCTCTCTCCCGTGCTTACGCTCTTTCTCTCGCTCTCCTGCTTGCTCTCTCTCTCTATTTTACGAACTCTGTCTATCATTCACATTCTGTCTCTTACCATTATTTTACCTCTGCTCTCAACAACCCTCGCTGCACCTGTCCTTCTCTTTTTCACTCTGATGTCCGCTCTCCCATCACAGTGGTGAGATGTTAACCTTCTCACTTGTTATGCGGGAGGTCATGGGTTCGATCCCAACTCTGACGCCTGCTATATATTTGGAGTCTCCCCGTGGTCGCATGGATTTTTCTCTGGGTCCTCTGCTTTTTCCTCCACATTTAGAGTATTCAGAGTGTTTGGTTGCTATAAATTTGCACATGATAAGCCACTTTGTTAGGCTATCCAATCGCTTATGAAAAAGAGCTACATAGCTCAGTGGCCCTTACCTGGTAAACATTTTTTAAAATATATATATAGTTTCTCACTCTTGCTGGCTTGCTCTCTCCTCTCCGTTGCACTCAATGCCGCCGCACGGGGTTGGGTCTTCGCTACGCCCACCTCGAGTATGGCCCGCAGCCACCACCTCTTATTTACCATAAATCTCCATGGGGTTGCTCTGTTATTTCCAGAGTTAAAATAATCCCACGTTCGCCGGGCGCCCCCAGTCTAACATGACCGTGCAATGGAATCGCGACCGGATGAGCCCGCGCGTATATGTTTGTCCGTACGTGTAAACATACACCGAAGACAAAGATCCCCTGTATATCCTTATTAGACCCTCGGGGCAGTACTGTTAGTGAGCACCTATTAAGGCCAGCTCGGCAGCGCGAGGAGAGAAAATGGTGTGGCCACAGCGGCCGTCCTCGTCTGCCCAGTGCTGATGTTTACATACCGCTCTGGGGATGCGGGGGACGGGATACTCGTTTGGGGTTGACATGGGGGGAAGAGGCCCATGACTGTTTCAGATATCACTTGCCACTTACGTTAGCTGTGGCTTTGGAATAGAATCCGGGCCCGCCGAACTTTTTGTTCAGCGTGCAAACTGCTGCACCACTGCAGCATGACTGGCTCATGTGACGAGGGGTGTTGCAACCCCAGAGGACTAATGCGATTGCCACGTGCGGACGAGAGGCAACCAACTGAAGGGACCTCGGAGGTAGTTCTTTGACGTCACCTTCCAAACTCGGTTCTGAAATACGGCGCCGGTGATGTTACACCGAAATGAATTGTCTACGGGCAGTGATAACACGACGCCGATCCACCTTTCCCCAGCCCACGTCAGAGACAAGCTGCACCCATCTCCTAAGATCTGGGGATGCAGGTTCTCTCTGCATTTCCAGGTCATGGAGGCTTCGGTCGATGGGTGACCGAGCTGTTTCCTGCATAGTCCCGGGACTCAACTCTATCCCACAAGATCTCAGAGTCGGGACATATTTGAAACACGTAGTTATACACTTCCTTTTATTCAACTGTTAGTTACTTCAGAAAATGGCTTTTAGCATTTCTTTTGATCTTGTTTTGAGAGTAGTTTTTTTATCCTGAGCTTTTGCTGCCTTGCACAGACTTTGAAATACTGGCTGAAAGGCGATTTGTAAATGCAATTATTATAATTACCTTTCTACATAAACCGCAATTCGGAGGAAAATGGCAAAAACGAGAAGAGGAAATGTCAAAATGTTGGACCGTGCGGGTGAGCATTGGTGGGGGGTGGTGGAGGGGTGGGGGGTGGTGGGGGGGATTCTGGGGGGGGGGGGGGGGGGGGACGTGAGGGGTGGAGTTTGAGGAATCGCGCTCTAGAGGGCGCCGGTGGCCACACTTCGGCCAGAACAACATCCGAGCGTTGGGGCCGGAGTTCGTGTGCCATTCACTTGAGGGTGTGTTGTGTATGTACGTGTGTTGAACTTGTTTTGCACCATACGTAGCCAGCCGTGCTAATCGGAGGTGCGGCACTTGCTGTTTTTTCTGCCTTTGCCCAACATTGAAAAATCGGACTTGTGAAAATATTATCGGATTTATTTATTAATTGTTACCTGCACACCATTTTCTCTATTTTGCACTCCTATCGTTTTATTTTTTGCACCGTTTGCTTTTGTGACTTGCTGACCCAACCCATACTAAACATCTTTGAAAGGGAGCTTCATTGCTCATCCCATTTCTCCTCCAGTCTGTATCAAGATTCCGATTGTGAGGCCGAGGGACGGTGGTGGGGGGGAGGGGTGTTGGTGCCGTACCGTTCTCGCAGTCCTCTCCCTCCTCGATGGGAACCTTCTCGTATTTGCCGTGCCCTGTGATGATGAACTTGTATCGCTTCCCGCTGGGCGTGGACTGCGGGCAGAGTGAGCGAGAGAGACAGACAGCGGCCAGGTTCAGTCTCTGTCAAGTTCAGTGGTCTGATGTGTTATTCGATTCTATGACTCCCCAAGAGCTGTTATCATTGGTGGAGTTGTTATTCCAGTTTTAAAGTGCGGGGGGGTATTTGATTTCTTCCAAGTCACACATGTGCGTGTCTGTGTGTGTGTGTGACTGTGCAAGTGTGCGGGTGCGTGTTCATAAGTTGGCAAAGTCGGGGGCACAGCTGGTGCATCTGCCAGTCATCTCAGTCAGTCAACCCATGGCACCTGGGTCTGTCCCCGTGACCTCCTGCCGGTGAGCCTTCGACACTTCACGTGGCCTCAAAGTGCACCTGGCCTGGCACAGGCACCATGCTGATGTCACCGCCACTCAGTGGCGAATTGCGTTTGTTGTTTTATACGTACGATTGCACACGCTGAGCGCACCCGAACACGCGTGCATGTGTTTTGTGTGTGTGTTTTGTACGTGTGTTTTGCGTGCGTGTGTTTTGTGCGTGTGTTTTGTGTGTGTGTGTTTTGTGCGTGTGTTTTGCGTGTGTGTGTTTTGTGTGTTTTGCGTGCGTGTTTTGTGTGTGTGTTCTGTGCGTGTGTGTGTTTTGTGTGTGTGTTTTGTGCGTGTGTTTGGTGCGTGTGTTTTGTGCGTGTGTGTGTGCCGTTGTGTCCCCCTGACCTTGTTGAGCGCAGACTTGTCACGCTCGGAGGCCGGAGCGTCCGACATGTGCTCCCACATGCTGCGCTTGCTCAGGATGTCCACGGGGCGTAGATCCTGCGCAGCACACAGTCGGCACAACACAGGCAGCGCCTTCATCGCCTCTCCCATTCCCCGCTGCAGCTCCCCCACCTCTACCGGATCATCGTCATCACTGATTGAAAGCTCATTTATTTAGGACTGCTTTTTGTGCTTAGTTTGTTGTCCTGCCCCTGCAACCTCCAATTAGCGCGGTTGGCCACACACGGTGCGGAAGAAGTTCAACGTACTTAGCTTAAGAACCATTGCTACAGTCTACATTATAGACTGCCAGTACACTCACTCAGATTAAGAACCAGGCTACAGTCTACATTAGTGTTTGTTGTTTTTTAGTATATATATTTTTATTCACTTTCATTTTATTATTTCTCTATCTACATGACTTTACCGAAAGAACCAAAGAATATGAAGTTCCACATACACACGTACATCATCACCAGCCACGACCAATCGCAGGTCAGGCAGAGTAACCGTCCATCTAGCAGCGGCACAGGAGACGATTTCGTCGCTCCGTCTACGCCGTGGACTCTCAGATGCGTGCCCCCTTTGGCTGCGAATCCGTCATTCGTCTCGACCACTGGCAATCGTCCATTCTAGCAGCCGTGTCCTGCCCATGCCAGGGTTTCTCAAACGCCAACCCCGTGGGGCCCACCACTGCCCACGTTTCAACGTTTACCAATTTACCTCCGGTCAACAGCTCAATTATGTCTTCGCACGCCGCACGCACACCTCGTCATCGCGAAACGGTAGCCTCACGTGACTTCTTCGTTTCGACGATCAACTTAGTCCACTTGCGCATGCTTCCGAGGATGGAAATCTCGAGGCAGCCTTTTGTCACTCCTCGAGCTGTGGGCGCTAGGAGTTGCCCATTTGTCCTAGTTGTCGCAGGATCCCTCCTCTTATCTAGGCAGGCGTGTTTTGGGAAACGTGCAAATGTTCCCAGAAGCATTCAAAGTGGCCTTCTGCGGTCAGCTGAGTAACAATGGCAAGATTAGTATTGACACACCACTCAAGTCCATGCATTGTGCCTGTAGTGCTCCCATTTTCCTGGCAATCTAGATTGGAAACCCATTTCTTTAGAACTTCTTTTTTGTGTTTCGTTTGCTGTCCTTTCCCCGCACCTTCAATTAGCACGTTTGGCAACGTAAGGTTGCCAAAGAAGATCAACATACACGCATTTTGAGACATTCTTATACACCCCTTAAAGAAAGATGGTGACCCAAAACCCGGAGCAAAAACGACCGATGTCCAAACTGGAGCGAGTCGCGCTCCGTTCGCAGCCGGTGCTCCGCCACGATCATCGGCATGGCGTTCGCCGTTTATTTGTACGGGTTGGTAAGGGGAGAGAGGGGGCGGGGAGCGCTCGCGGTATCTGCGAGCTGCGGGTTGTAAATCACGGTAATGAGGGCTCGCGATCGAGGCCGCCCGCGCGCTGGCCTGACGCACGCACGGCGGCGCGCACGTGCGCTCGCGTTAGAACGAAGCGGCGTTCATGAATCATCATCGGTGCTCGCGTGTGAGTTCACCCTTGACATGCACCTGGCGGAGCTATCCTAGTTTTATTGTTGTCGCTTGGTGATTAATGTGACTACAAGCTATGCAATGATTAATATGAAAGAGTGACACGTGATGCGGTCAGCTGTCACTACAGTATATTCAGGGTTGTGATTCTTTGTTTCTTGCGTTGCTTTTGTCTCCGTTAACATCGATGTAATTTTGCTTTTAAAGTCGCGCGATATCACGAATTCAACGTCGACTAAGCATGAGTTCACCATTTCTCCATCTGTGAAGAGTTGCCCAGTGGGTTCTTTATTATCATTCTTATTATGATTGTTCATTTGAATTGCCAAGTATATGGCAATTCTTTACCCCCTCCACTCTCCGATTTGATGAATTGTAATTTAAGACATTGCCATTCCATTCAAAATTCTATTCATTTTTGTCTCCATTTCATCATCTCATTTATATCGTTCATGGGACAATTTTTTATCGTTAGTGTTTGCCTCTGTGATTTACGTAAATCGCAATTAATCGATTCCTTACGATTAATTGCACGTGTGTAAGTCGACACGGTCCGTGTGGAAAGTCTCGTGGTCGCTGTTCACCACGGATGCCTTATACACCGCTGTCACGACCAAAAGTAGAAGTTTAAAAAGTGAATAAATAAAAATATTTACCCAACAGCAGGGTTTTGCGACTATCACCGGAATGCACATTTTCTCATCAGATCTCAGAAGCTAAGCAGGCTTGAGCCTGGATAGTTCTCGGATGGGCGACCACCATGCCCAACAAGTTTGTTACAGGCAGCTACGTGGTGGCCAGCAGCCAAGGGCAATGAAGAAAACAACTAAATTGTTGTACTGTACTTCTATGCTCCACGCCTTAACTCAACCCACACTGACCGGCGTGGTGAAATTTCGTTAAATAGCTTCAGCTGTGGATTGGCAATAGCGCTTGGAAGTTCGCGTGGATTTAAATTTTGATCTCAATGAGTTCACAGTTCACATCAATGAAGGACAGCGACTTGGAACTTCAGCTCGCGTCCGTTCACCCAAAGCTCTCGCCGTCGCGAGCGATGAACCGAGGACTGCTCGCTCATCGGTGAACATTCCTGATCGCCACTCCGCTCGCCGCCTTCTCCACTGCTTGAGATGCAAACTCGCACGTCACCAAACTATTAATTCTTTAGCATTTTTATTTCCTTGGAGATCCGGGAATGGCGAGCTGAGCGAGCTGTGCGAGAGAGAGAGGAGGTGGGGGGGGGGAGAGACTCGGCGAGGTTGGTGAGGAACGGCGGGCGGCGAGTGGCGTGGTTTAGTTTGGGGCGAGCGTGCGAGCGGCGCGAGTGGTTTTTCGGGGAAACGCCAGAACGCGTTATTATGAAAATAAATATTTAAACCCTCGTTCCGACTGTTGAGTAGCGGCGAAGCGACGGGGGAGGGTGGGGGGGTCTCTGGAGGGGGGTGCGACTCCGATGGGGGTTTTAGATTTCCCAGCGCCGGCCACGTCGGCCGAAACGTGGCAACGGCAAAGCCGCTCGGCTCCAACGGGAGTGAAGCGCCACGCTCGCACGAGGCTGTCGCACGAGACACTCGCACGAGGCACTCAGCGCGGCAGTTGAAACAATGGTCCAAATTTCTTAAATCCACCCACGGGTATTAACAGGTGCACCCCTAGTTAGTCAATGGACAGGTCACAAGTGTGGGTACTCCCAGCACTTCCAAGGCATGGAAAGGTAGGCCAAAGCTCCCTCCAGAGGTGTGCAGAGGTGTGTTTTTCTTCAGCTCCGTCTAAACGGAGGCCCGAACGCCGTCATGCAGCGGACCCATCTGCCTAGATTGGACCCCCACAGCGATTTTCGTCAACCCACCGCTGGGTGAGAGCATCCCCTGGGGTTTATTTGACCGTACTTCTCCACGCCGCTCGGTGTGGGGTAGCGATGGTGGTGGGGTAGGGGGGGGAGCACGGGTGATGGGAGCATTGATGTTGCTGCGCTGCCCCCTCGCCGGACGACGTCGCCCCGCGAAGGCTTACGATCGCGGTGGTGGTCGCCCATCCAACCAACAGACTACGCGGGCCCGGGCCTCCGTTAGCTTCCGAGGTCTGACAAGAAGGGGCGCGTCCCGGGTGGTGAGGTGACAGGCGATCCCCCGAAAGAGAACGGAGGTCTAAAGCGAAAAGCGCTCGCTCTCTCTCTCTCTCTCTGCAGTGTTCTTCGAGGCTTCACGGGGTAGAAAAAAAAATCGCAGTTCGGCGACGCTCTCTGTCGGCTTGGGACATTGTTCTGAATTGCCCAGAACATAACTCGGCAATAATTCATAAGAAAACAAATATAATTCACCCCAACGCGGGACAGCAGATCACAGCCTGCAGTTAATGCCCCGTCCTGTAGGAGCATTTGACCTTCCGACCCGTGGCAGTTATTTAATGTTAACACATGCTAGATATTAGTTATGTCACATTCCTTAACAAGTAATTGCTGTAACGTATATCTGCTTTGTGACCTCATTGCATCACTGGAGGGTGGGCGTGGGGGGGGGGGCTGGGGTAGGTACAGCAAACTCGATGTCGGCTCGACGAAAAAGGGGAGAGAGAAAAATAAACAACGATCAGAAGTCGCTTTAGCGTAAATATTTCTCGAAAATAAACAATTAAACAAAGTCGCCGAGTCGCGGCGTTTACGTAATGGCAGCGTTGCACGTGCTCGCGCCGCGGCCCTGATACGGAGATGAGAAATGAGCGCGTTGGCCTCCGCGGAAGCTCGGAGCAGAAACACGAGCACCCATCGTCACGATGCCCTGGATCGCATTAGCGCTCGCGTGCGCGGTACACGCACACACGCACAGTATACACGCGTACGCAGTACATGCACACACGCACCGTACACGCACACACGCACAGTACACGCACACACGCACAGTACACGCACACACGCACAGTACATGCACGCCTTTATGGTCGGCCACCCCGGTACGCGCTCCCACGGGTGACCGACACGCCGCTCGACTGACTCAGCCTGAGGCCCACCAGGGGCACTCCGGTCAGCCTCTGGGTTGACTCAACCGAGGGGCCGCATCACACGGAGGCTGCGTCTCACGATCCTGCCGGAGGCTGCGGGTTTTGTCGGCCGAGCGTCTCGCGATCCTACACCGGAGGCCGGGCTGTGGGTCAATTATCGTCGAGAGACTCCGTTAGACCGAAACGCCAAGCAGGTGTGAAGGGTGCGATATATATCGGTCCATTGTCTGAAGACCCAGTGAGAGGCTGGTCTATCAGTCTATTGTATAGTGGGGATCGGCAATAACACCCTGACGGCAACAGATAGAGAAACGCTCCATTTCATGAATCTTTATCTGAACGCTTTGGGAGTTAACTTCGAAGCAGAAACCTACTCCCTAATCACCACCGCTCGCTAACCCCCCTGCTCACCACTGCTCTCTAAGCTCTCCGCTCACCACTGCTCTCTAACCACCCCCGCTCACCACCGCTCTCTAACCACCCCATTCACCACCACGCTCTATCCGCAACGCAACATTGCACCGCTTAGCTCTACATACCGACAGCACGGAGCACATGACCTCGAAACAATTCTAGCCGTGCTCTCAACGAAGAACAAAAAAAACGATGAGTCGGAGGTGGGTGGGTGGGCGAGCATGCTAGGGCCAGGGTCTTCCAGATGTGGGGTCACGCGGGGTGCTCGGGTGGGAGGCGCCTTGAGAATTTGGGAGGCTGAGAGGAGGGGGCTAAGGGGGCGAGGAGATGGAGGAGGAGGAGAAGGGAGGGTGGGCAGGGTGAAGCTTTGGGAACGAAACTCTCACAAATAGGGTTGACCGCAGCGAGTGCATTGAACGCACTGGATAAACAAACCCGAGTGTGCGTGGCCAACCCCCACTCGTACAGCCTCAATTACTCACCCCCCATGCCCCCCCCCCACTCCCTACCTCCCCCACCGCTCCACCCCCAGGCGCTTGTGTGTAATTGCGTGCACGTAAGCACACTGGCACGCTTATCGTCGAGCGAGCGCGCGCACACACGTCCACGCACGCGAGCGAGCGAGTGCATCTTTTGAGAGATCTGGCTCATCAGAGACGTCGCGATGCTCCAGTGAGATTTATTATTTTTTCTCGCGGCGGTCGGTCGTCCATTCGTCGGATGGATGATGAACGTAATGCAATCACCCCCCTCTCTCTCTCTCTCTCTCTCGACTCCCTCTCTCTTCACCTTGTCCGAACACGCACCGTTGCAGACCTTGTCTCCCAGTAAACGTGCCAACGTTGGGGCCGGGGTTTACATACGGTTGGAACCGTTTGACCAACGTTGGCCGGACGTTGGTCCAACGTCCGCCACGTTTGCTCAAAATCGATTGCTTTGTCGCTCGCAGATGGCAGTGAGGTGGTGGTCACCGATCTGTTCGTTATCTCCGTTCGAATAGTTTTTTTTCCCATTCTCCGGGTCAGGTCATGCCCTCCCCCCTCGACCCCAACCCCCCTCCTCCCCACCCCAAAATAAACAAACGAGGATCTTGGAAAGGGGAATTCTTTTGCAGATATTTTTGTAGCATTGACAGACAAAGATAAGAACCGCTTTGTGGGATTCAGCAGTGGTTGTCCACCGCATAGACTCGCCCGGCCGTATCAATACCTAACTTCCACCATTAGCTTCGGGGCGGCGTAAGTGGGTGATGAGCACAGCTCTCATGCTCAACTACTTTCAGAAACGGCTTTGGAATTATTTTCCTTTTACTTTAAAATTGTCACACTTTCTGGGGGTGTGCGGGTGCGTTTGTGGGGAACAGTATTGTAGCGGTTAGCGTGCTGCGCTACGAACCCGGAGTCCGGAACTAAATTCCCGCTCACGGCCAACATCAGTGACGATTTTCTGAACCGGTCCTGGGCCTCCACCTGGGCGACTGAGCCTCAAATGAGTACCTGGTGCGATGTGTCAACATCGCCACGAGGGAGACAACAGCGGCCAGGCGTGGCCACCCACTCCCTCGTGTGCCATGCCGGCCTTCATTAGGTGCTCGCTAACAGCACTTGTCCCAACAGTCTGTTAAGGATATACGGGGGGGCATCTTTCTTTTGTGTGTTTGTGCGTGCGTGCGCGCGGGCGTTGCATGCCTTGACAAAATTAAAACGACGGTCATGCTCCCGAGCCAGTCCATGCGAGGTCAATAAAAAGCAAAGCGTGCCGGGAGCCTCCAGGAGAGGGCAGGGGGGGGGGGTCGCGAGTTTTACCTGGCAGCGAAAAAGTGCCGAGCACAGAGCTGCTCAAGAGGAGGCAGAAAAGAGCCAGCGTCTAAAAGTGAGAGCGGGGCAGTCGGCGGAGAGAGAGAGAGAGCCACAGATCAGCTGAGGAACAAAGAAAAAACAAAGAAAATCATAATTCGAACCACTGAAGCGGAGAGGAACAGAAACGTACAAACGAATAAGCTCATAAAAGCACAGGGAGGGGGAGGGTAGGCTTGTGCATTGACTGTCACGTGTCATCCAGCTGTCACCTGTCATCTGGCTGCTACATGTTATCTGGCTGTCACGTGCCCGGCTGTCACGCTGCGAGACCGTGGCAGTGTTCCCAAACACGGAGCGCAAATTGACCTCTTCGAAGGGTTTCAGCCGAGGCCACAGCACGCACGCTGAACAAGCCTCTAAACGTCACAATTGAATTCTCTGCTTCTTGACGTTCCAATCAAGCCGTGATGATCGTTGCCATTTCGTAGAGCGCAAGACCATCGCCAAAGATGCGACGTGTCTACCGCCGCTGTAAACGTGTAGAGATGGGCCCGCTGGCCGACTCGGCCGCTTGATTGAGGAGCCAAGCGCGATCGCCTCCACCCCCTTCTCAGTGGGCGATTATTCTGTACGCCTTTAGAAATAGCGACCAGAACCCAAATATACTGCCTAGCGAAGTGGGGAAACCCCCCCCCCACAGGAGCCATGCCCAGCATGAGCGGCTGACGGTGCCGATGACGTCACCAAGCCCTGCCCATCATCACCTCTCCCATTCGACGGGAGAGGTGAGTGGTCGAGCAATGGATGACTTCAATCACAGGATTACAGCCCAGCTCGAGTCAAGAGCTATGCGTCGTGTTGTTTGGACAGGCAGTACCCCCTCCCTAACCGCCACCCCCTATTGACGTGTCAGCGGTCACAGCCTCAGCTCCGACATGCAACAACGCGCGGCTGGGATCGGGCAAGAGCGGAAATAATCACGGAGGGAATGGAGAAAGTTTCAGAGCGAAAACAGCAAGTCGATGAGAGAGCAGCGAGAGTCGCAGAGAGTGGAGACAATGGAGAATAGAGAGAATGGAAGAGATAATCCAGGAGAAAGTAGAGAGAATGTAGGATAGAATGGAGGAGAGGATAGAGGAGAGAGAGTTGAGAAAATCAAGGAGAGGATGCAGGAGACAATGAAGCCGATGTTGTTGTTGTTGTTGCCGCCACCGCCGCATTACCGTGGGCTTCGCGGGCTGAGCCGGAACCTTGCTGTCGGCCACGTCGGGCGACTTGGTGCCCCACTGGCTGATGCGATTGGCCACGCCCACCTTGATGACCGCCAGCTCCTGCGGGCAGAGACACCGGCGGACGAGGTGGACGTTAAGGGACGACGGCGACTGAAGAGCTGGCGGCGATGACGGTTGTTGTGGGGGGTCGCGGTGGCGTTGGCGGCAGTGAAGGGAGGTAATAGTGGGGCCGATGGGTGTCGTGGTGTAGCGGTCGTGATGATGATGGTGGCGGTGGACGTGAATAACAAAATTATATGAAATAATAGCGATAAAAAATGAGTGTGGTTTCACTGGAGCCGGAGTTGAACGTCAGAAGGTCATGGGATAGTTTTTTTAGTATCGAGTTGATCTTATCAAACCAGTCACAAGAACAAAACGTAGCATTTACATGTGTTTCACTTCGCCTGACAATGTTGCAGCGCTGAGGATTAAACATCAAATAGCATGATTGTCGTGCAAACAAAAACATTTCTCCGTGTAGCAGGTTGTCCGGGAAACGTGTGTGCCCTCCGAAGTAGTTCTGGGTTATCTCCTTCCACAGGCCGCCCTCGAACACAGGGAGTGACGCAGCACCGCTCGTGTGAGCATTCTGAACGGCGCCAATAACACGACTTGTGATACGTAAATCCCCACCCCCCCCCCCCACCCCACCGTGGCAAAACGTTATTTAACTTTTCAAAAAATATATATATCTATATCGAGGAATGGCAGTGACCCCCCTCTGCCCCCCCCCCCTCCCACCGATGCAGGCAGCTCCGTTCAGACAAACATCTGGCCCAAGTGGAAAAGGGAGATCGTGAGACATTTTGGGGGGGGGGGGGGTGGGGGTCTGAGAATGAAAGGCAGGAAAGAGGGAAAGCATGTGGTTTGGAGTTTTTGGGGAGGGGGGAGAAATAAAAAAATAAATAGCACGGAGCATTCCTCAACTGACTCCCCTAACAGGAGGGTCTCGGAGAAAAACCGCACGGTAATTTTCGAGAATTTGCTGAGTGGTCTCGGGCAATAAAGGCGAGCGTTGTAGCCTTTGTAGGCGGATGTGGGACAGTTGTAACAAGACGTCGTTGTGAGAGGGTAACAGCGGACGCTGCCTCGGTGCTCTGTTCTGTGTCGGTCGCGATCACCCAATGCCGCAACATCTATCAACGCTGCGTGCTGATTTAAAACTATCAAAGTTAACTCCACAAGAGCCAACGGCACAACATCTATCACCGTTACGTCTAGATTTAAAACTATCAAAGTTACCGCCACCACAGTCAACGGCACAACATCTATCGCCATCACCGTTACGTCTCGATTGTTGCCATCGAATCCCACCGCAACCAACGCTGCAACGTGTAGCACCATCATCATCACGTTCTGGATTTAAAAGCTGTTAACATCACCTCGGTCAATACCACCATTGACATTTCATTTACAACCAACACCACAACATGACAAAATAATAATTTCCATTTGTAAGGCGCATTTCATTCGTAGATTCCCAATGCACGCCCCGTGTATCTAAACCAGGAAATAAACAGGACCTGCAGGGTAAGTGGCCAGAACTAGGGGGTAAAGACCAATTTAAATAGGTGAGTTTTCATGATAGACTGAAATATATCGAACCATTACCTCCTAAATTACCACCATCGCCATCTCTACCTTCCGACTGCACAATCGCTCCCTCTAACGCAGTGTTCTCTATTGCAAGGCCCGTAGGTCACTGGCAGCCCCTGGTGGCCTTTAGCGCAGCCCCCGACAACACACCAAGAGTGAAAACACCCCCCATCATCATCGTGCTGCTGTCAAACCCAACAACGTTTCAAATGTGTGGCGGCCCTCGCACCGATGATGTCTTATCGTCAAAAGTGGCATCCACCACCTCACGCCCTCTGAAAATAAGTTGAAGAACACCGATATAACCGCTGAGCCACCGGGCCGGGAAAGGCTGTAAAGGTGCAGCCTCTGGAAGTGCATGTCCTGTCGGTGGAGGGGGCCCCCCACCTTGTTGGAGGACCCCTTTGGGGCGGCCACGCCGCTGTAGACGTCGCCTGTCTCCCACATGTTCTTCTTGTTGGCGATGGTGTCCACGGCGACGGGCAGGTCGGGGACGCCCTGCTTAGGCGGCTTCGCTGCCTTTGCCGCGCTCTGCCCACGCGCACGCAACAAACACAACGATTCCCCCCCCACCACCCGCGCGTATCCTTTAGAAGAACTGTTGGGGCAAGTGCCGTTCGCGAGTAGCAGCTACGAAGGCCGACACGGCGCACGAAGGTGGCGAGCACCACGCCCCGGCTGCCTTTGTCTCCCCAATGCTGATGTGGTTACACACCGCACCAGGTGCTCGTTTAAGGCTGAGTTGACGTAGTCGAGGCCCGGGTACGGGTTCGGATGTTCGTCACCGGTGTTTGCTGTGAACGGGAATCGGACTAGCTGGGTTTGTAGCGCAGTGCGCTAACGTCCACACGACCGCTCCTCACAATGCACACATTAAAGGCACATAAACACAATACATGCGGGCTGCATAAACAACGCACACGTGCATAATTTCATACGCAGTCACGTGCCTGCGTACAGAAAGACAAATATTCCCCGTATGGCCTTAACAGACTGTTGGGGCAAGTGCCGTTAGCGAATAGCACCTTTGAAGGCCGGCACGGCACAACGAGGGGGGTGGGTGGCCATCGCCACGCCCGGCCATCAACGCAGCAAACAAGAAAGATTGAACAGCAACAAAAAAAACCCGAGAAACCTCACAATACAAACGAGACTGTAAAAACGGAAGAACATTTCAAAAATACATATATATCAATCTTGGGATTGAATTGTGTGACAACTCATGGACTCGCTGGGTGGGGCCGGTTGGGAGGGGCGGATCGTCGGAGGCGCACCGCGCTGCTCACCTCGGCGGCCGAAGTGTACAGCTCCAGTTTGCTGTCGATCTTGCAAATCTCGAGCTGTGGCTGCTTGGCCTTGAAACTCCCGCTGGGGAACGAGTACACGGGCGGTCACAGTCAACATCATCGCAGCCGCCGTCGGTCATGATCTATCCACTGCTGGCAAGCGCTGCGACATCACGATCCATCCAGCACCTGCGCACAAGCTCATTTAATTGCTCCATCTCTAAGGCGGAGATATATTTTAAATATATTTGTGCACATATTATCTTGCCATTTGATTACATCACAGGCAGATTGCTTTTAGTGCCCCACGTACGAGAGGATTGTGAGAAAAACTTGCACATGATAGCTGTCTGTTGTAGGGCAATGGATTCTTTACTGATCATCATCATAATAAAGTGGTAAAGTCTGCTCAAACAGCCCCAATTACCTAAAGCTGTGGATTTAAAAGATGGTTGTTCCTTGACTGCTGTTGTTTGTGATGTGATCTAATGGACTAATTTATTTCTTTTGATCACTTCGTTTTGGTGCAACAGATATATTTATTTATTTATTAATGTTTCCTTGGTAGTAGGGGTTTCCATTTGCTCGGTATGTGCGTGTGTGTTGGACTTCTTTCACGCTGTGCGTAGCCAACTGCGTATATGGGATTAGGTCCTTATATATAATTAACGTACGACATTGCGGGACACTATTGGCATGAAAGACGCTACATAAAATGACAAAATTATCTAATTTTACTTTGATTTTATTATGTTTAATTTTTTTTATTTTGTTATTTCCCTTCTACGTGACTTTACCGAAAGAACCAAAACAATGAATCCCTGCAGTCACGAAAGCTTTAAATAAAAATGTATCTTTTGGTACTAATTAAAGCGCTCGTGTGTGCGGTTCCCATCGCTAAGGCGTGAAAGCCCAGGAGCTCGTTCCACTCACCTCCTTTGCACCGAGCGGCTCAGAGACTCGGTCATCTCGCTCAGCTGTTGGGCGGACACGTTCCACACGGTTAGTTCGTCGCTACGCGTGGGGAGCGGCATCGTCGCGGTTAGTGTGAACCCGGCGACCCGAGTTCGATTCCCGCTCGCAGCTAACACCAGTAACGACTATCTGAACCGGTCCTGGGCCCCCCTAGATCGACTCGGCCTCAAATAAGTACCTGGTGCGGTGTGTAAACATCGCCACTGGGGAGATGAAGGACACCAGCCGTGGTTGCTGGCCACCCACACTCATGAGAATGTTGCTGAGTGTGTATCACGGTTCAAAAAAATTGTGGAATGAAGAAATAAAATAACTTGGGACGTGAAAAAAAGAAACGACCTCTCAGACGAAAAGGCTCCAATGGTTTAGACACGGAATGCTAAATTATCCCGGAGAGAATACACCACGTCTGGCACGACCTATGTATACAGGCTAGATATATATCTTAGTACCGAGACCCCCAGCCTTCATCAACCTGTGCTGACCAGCGTGGTGAAGTATGGTCAAATAACCCCTGTGACCCCATGCGGTGTGGCGAGCTCCTCATCCAGCAGTGGAATAACAAGGGCTGCGTGCGTGCATGCGTATGCAGAGGCAATGTAGAAGGTAGGGAGTTAGAGAACCCTATGGGCATCGTTGGGAAACGTCGGCATGATACAAATTAATCATCGGCGAGACCGATTCAAGACCGGCAAGTGCCACCCCTAGGTCAACTCGACCTACAACAATGCAAAGATACCGCCCGACAGTAGGTGCAGGGTCACAGGTGGGCGGGCGGCCGTCACGGCACTTCCCTGCCTCCACCGGCCCGTCGCGCATGACAGACACTCGCTACCCACTCACCTTTCCGCTGGCACGGGGCAGGAGGCCGCCGAACGACTCGTCCGCATCGCCGGGAGACGTCTCGGCGAGGGCCGATATCTTCCGCCGCTTGTCGTCCGCCAACCTCTGCCGCTCCGCCTCCTCGCGCCTTCTCTGCTTATCCTCCTCCTGCGCGCGTCAAAAAACCCACGGGCGACGACGGGGCCGCGGGTTGGCGTCCGCACAATCCACGGCCGATGCCGTCGGGCAGCGCAAGCGGCGTGGCTACCGGGTGCGCAGGCGGTGCAATCGCACCGCCAGAGCCCGTGGGCTGCAGGAGCCCGGAAGGGGTGGGAAACTTGGGACGGGGCGACCGGTTTATTTCAGCCGGCGAGGCCCCATCGAGCGAAGCAGCTACGTTACCGGGACGACCACAGCCCAAGACCGTCGGCAGTGGCGGCAGTAGCGGGACATCGCAGTGGCATAGAGTTGCGTGGCCAGGTGGCTTCTCAAAAATAGCTATATAGCTCAGTGGGCCTTTCCTGGTAAAATAAAAAATTGTTTAGTTTTAAGTGAAAATCTCCCTTAACGTCTTTTATAAATCCAGCGTAAGCCAAATGGAAATGTTTCTCCTTAACGCATTTCACGTGACCGTCCGCCGGCCTCGGGCAGAACTTGAGACCGACCTCCTCTCGTGCAGCTCTCTCCTCTTCCTCCTCCTGCTGCTGCTGCCTCCGTCGCTCTTCCTCCTCGTCGTCGTCCACTTCGTCGTCGTCATCGTCGTCGTCACCCAGGCCCCGCGAGCGCCCGTTGGCACGGCTGTGGGGGGGCGACATCGGTGAGACGAGGGCACGGGGGAGACACGGCACGCGCGCCCGTGTGTGTGTGTGCAACGGCACGAGTTACATGCGTGTATCGTGAGCGGATGAATGGAGGAAACGTTACTATCGCAGGAGTGATGCGTGCAGAACTCTCCCATAGTGGGAAGAAGAGGGGTGGTTTGGAGAGATAACCAGAGATGTTCAGTGAGATAATCAAAGATGATAACAATCCCACCTCGACTTCCCCCATGAGCGGCTGTCTTCATCTTTTTTCTCATCATAATCATCCTCCTCCTGAATGAACAACAATACAACAACGATAATAATGACAATGCGTTCACAATCATAATAGGTTATTTGGAAGAGTAGGCTAAACATACCTTCTGAAGGGGCTCTCTCTCTCTCTGTCGATAATAGAGGCTCAGCCACTAGCAGTGGCGTGGACAAGAACACACCGCTACACCTCTACCACGTTTACGGTCATGAGCGAAAAAATAATTATATTGGCTTTTAATTTTTTTACAAGAATTTCCATTGTAATCTATGTTTTTGGCTTTTACAGATGCACAGATTCCTACAAAAAGTATATATGCGGGTTATCTGGCTAATTCATTGGTCGATCACCACACAGGTGTTGCAAAACTCCCTTCCAAGCGAGCGTCGAGGAGGAGCCGTAACCCCTTCAGCTCGCCAGGTGAAAGGCGGTACAGTAAAAAATGTGGACTCCACCTGCGCTCTCTGTGTGGGATAGAGTGTTCCCCCCTCGCACGCGTGAGTTTTCTCCAGGTACTCCCGTTCCCTCTCGCACGCAAGCACCCATTAATTGACCGGGAATATTTTAGTGTAAAGAGGAAGGCAGAGCTTGGGCGATTCCTGGTGCCGGCTCACCGCTTGGCTGCTTCTGACTTTATTTCCTTTCTCGCGCCCCTTTTGAGTCGATCTCTACCTTCCAGAGCGAGCGAATACGCAACGATACGGCGTCGTCCAAGTGCGACCGCATCTTAAGACGGCCGTACGGAGGCAATCGGCGGCGCGTTGTTTTACGCACCCACTGGGAGCGGGCGGGCGTTAGGAACCCAAGGGCGAGTCTTGAAACCGGTCTCAAACCTCATCACCCGCCACGTGCGAGGATCTCTACCCACCTTCTCGTACTCCAGAGCCTTCTTCCGCTCCTCCTCCTCCTCCTCTTGGCGGAGGCGTCTCTCCATCTCACGCCGCTCCTCCTCCTCTTCCTGCTGGCGCTGCAGCTCCAGCTCCTGCTCCCTCCTTTCCCGCTCCCTCACCTTCTCCCGTTCCCGCTCCCTCTCCTCCCGTTCCCGCTCGCGCTCGGCCTCCTCCTCCCGCGCCGCTGCCGCCGCTGCCGCCGCCGCCGCTTCCTCCTCTTCCTCTTCCTCCGGCTGCTGCTGCTGGCGCTTCTGACGTCGCTCCTCGCGACGACGCAGACGCTCGGCGTGCTCGGCCTCGTCGCCGTCGTCGTCGCCGCCACCGCCGCCGCCGCTACGGCCGTCGATCTTCGCATTCGTCTCCTGCCTGCATCGTCCCCCGGAGTCAACCACCACCGTCATCATCATCATCACTGTCATTGTCACAACCACCACCGTCATCATCATCATCACTGTCATTGTCGCAACCACCACCGTCATCATCATCATCATCACTGTCATTGTCACAACCACCGTCATCATCATCATCACTGTCATTGTCACAACCACCACCGTCATCATCATCATCACTGTCATTGTCGCAACCACCACCGTCATCATCATCACTGTCATTGTCGCAACCGCCGCCGCCATCGTCATCGGCACCGCAACGACCACCAACGCGAGCATCGAACTTTTGAGCGTGACGCGCGCTCAAAGTTCGAGTCCAATGGAGTACCAACATCATCATCACCATCACCACCACCGCCATCACGGCCACCGCCATCATCACACGCCGCAAGCGTGACGGGGAGCATTGTGGAGTCGGTGAGAATTATGGGAGGGTGGGGTGGGGGAACTGCTGCGGGGCATTGTGGGAGAGCGGCGGGCACCACCTGACGTTGTTGACGGGCGCGTCGCCGGGCGTCTCCTGGGCGGCGGGGGCGGTGCCCGAGCGGAGGCGCTCCTCGCGCGCGCGGCGCCGCCGCTCCGTGGCCGCCTCCTCCTCGTCCTCGCAGCTGCGCAGGTTGATCATCCTGCACGGTGGGGGAGGAACGAAGAGATTTAGGTCAACGCGTCGTGTGTTAATGTGCGTGTGTGTGTGGGCACGCATGATAATGACGATTATCTGAACCGGTGCTGGGTCTCCCCTAGGTCGACTCAGCCTCTAATGAGTAACCTGGTGAGGGTGTGTAAAAACATCCCCACTGGGGAGACAAAGGCGGACGGGCGTGGTGCTGGCCACCCACCCCCTCTCGTGTACCGTGCAGGGCTTCATAGGTGCGCTCTAACAGCACTCGCCTCAACAATCCGTTAAGACTATACGGGGTATTTTTGTCTCTGTGGATTATATCAAACATTTCTGATGTTTGGCTTTAAAGGATCATTCTGTACGCATTTGTAATGTCTCCGTGCGAGTTAAAGTGACGTCACTTGATGCTGCGTGACATCACTATTGGCATGAAGAGCAAAGGGAAAGTGATGTCACGAGAGTGATGTGACTTCACGTGATGTCATGCTTTTCGGACCAATGCGCAATTTCGTGTCTAGGATAAAATTTTGATTTTTTTTCCGATTCATCCCGAGTGCGCGCGTAACGTGCACATCGTTTGCGCGTGGGCCCATTTCGCATGGCCTCGCTGCACCTAGCATGGCAAGAAGCACCGTGGGGACGTCACCACCACTTAGCAGCCAATCGATGGTCATTGCTGTTGTTGTGAACAGGGAGCGGCAGTGCAGTGGCGGGCGCACTGCGGTCCGATCCCGACAAGCCTGGGTTCGATTCCCAGCCAGGCTGACAGCAGTGGTGAGGGATATCTGAACCCTTCTCTCCTACCAAAGTGCAATGCGCTATTCATTGTGCCACCAGTTCCACCATTCGTTTGGACACATATATACATTTGGTTCCTCGTTGCATAGTCACAAAATAGCTAAAAGATGTATTTTCTTTTTAATATAAATATTCTACTCGTCTTGTTATGGTGAACAAGCTGCCATCAGGGGGTCGCCTAGGCTTAAAAAACTGCACTGAGATGTTTCTTTACATTGCGGGCTCGATAATGGTACTCACAACTGCAGCTGCTATTATTACCGTTAGCAAGAAACAAATTTGCCCCGAAAAAAAACGTAAAAAAACGAACACTCGCAAACTTGTAAACCGGTAACGCTTTTGGCTCGCACCATCGGCATTACCGGAGCCAGCAGCCTTGTGGGGGTTTTTTTCGTAGGGGGGTTGATGGAGACGTGCTTATTAACGTCTTATTATAACTTGGCACGCTGCGGAAACGTAATCATGTGACGATTACACCCACCCCGGAGCCCACCGCTCCGTCGCCGAGTTCACTGCCACCCCCCCCTCGCTGGGATCGCGTCAGCTGCTCAGCCGACATTTCCTTCATCCCCCGTGACTCACGGGCAGCGTAACCCGGCATCAGTCAACGACTGACTGGACTCAAACCTCATCCGGCCATCGCTGGGGGAAGACGCGGCTATATCCTCCTGCGCCGATGGACGATTGCGAATAATAGCCCCAGGGCCATGGCTCCCGGTCACCGATCTCAAACAAATATGAGCGTTCAACTCGCGCTCAAAACGACGGTGACCCCGTGACGAAAGTTAATTCTGATAGTGTTCTCGAAGGGCTTCCTCTTACCCGCACGATGGCTCGGACAAAAGGAAGAGCGTTGCGCACGGATAGTAGGAAGGTTTGCGGATAATAGGATGTGCGGATAATCGAGACTCGGTTAAGAGGCGTTTCGCCTCTGAATGTAATTTGTATCATTGCTTGTTCATCATGGCCATCAATCGTCCTGTACAGCGGCTCTCTTATTACTGCGTCCCTGCCATATCTTGCACTCGCTCTTAAAATAAATAAAATAAAATGCTCTGTTGGTTTAACTCGAGCAGAACACATTAAATATGTTCTGGCCGATAGATCAGTTTTGAGTTTCAGCCGTGGTATGCCTTAGACCCGTACACGTACAGAGACACAGCTCCACCGTGTCGCCGTATAGACTGTTGGGGCGAGTGTTAGCACACACCTATTCAGGGCAGTGCAGCACAAGAGAGGATTACGTGGGCCTGCAGGTCTGCTGGCCCACGTCGTCCTCGCTTGTGCTGCACTCATGCCTGACCACCTTTGTCCCCCTAGTGCTGACGCCAGGTGTCACCTCCACGCTGTGTAAAGTACAACGCATTTCCTCATGCAGTGCTTGGACCACTGCAGGCCGCTGGGGGTGAGTGCTGGTTGTGAGCATCTACTGAAGGCACGCAGAGTGGCAGTGTAGCGGTACCGCGCTGATGTTTACGCAACGCTGATTTTTCTCTCTCCGTAATCGCAGCAGTCGATCGAATCTCAAAGGGTTAGTGAATAATCGTCGCCCGTCTAGCCCGGGGACGTGTGGCGGTAGATCTCACGCACGTGATCCACGTGCGGACCTGTAACCCCCGCCATACACAAAGGTCGTCTTGCCTTCAAGAGATGTTTTTTTTTTGTCCGCTGGACGAACGCGAAGATTTACGTGGAGGACACTCGTGCTCAGGGTGCGTCGGTTTGCAGAGGTGCCCTCGACACGAGACCGACACCACAAGGGTCAAGGCTTGGGATGTTTCGTTTATTATTTTTTATACGAAGAGATTCTGAACCCGGGGGGCACAGGTGTGTCAATTCAGGCCGAGTCTCACCGAGGCGACGTCCAAGACCGGTTAAGTCGCCGCTTCCTACTGACGCTAGCCGTGCCCAGAAATCAAACGCAGTTCACCGGGGTTCATGGCAGTGCAGTGCATACATCATTGCACCACCGTCTCCGACACACAACAACCACCACCACCATTCGCGATGAAGTTGTGGTAACGTCACCACGGTGTTGGCGCAGGCCAGGCACGCGTTTAGGCCCCGGAAAATGATACCGCACACACACACACTACATTTGAGATACTGTACTAACAGTGATGCACAAGCTCAAACAACAAACAACGTAACAGTCTCATCAAATAGCACTACTTGAAATAATTTAAAAAATACACAATAAATATTTAATAGGCGACATGTTGGGCGATGACAGAGCGGTCATTTCCAGAAATGTATGTGGAATTATTTATTTATTTCTCTCGCACACGGACAAAGATCCCCGTGTAGCCTTAACAGACTGCTGGGGCAAGTGCTTTTCGCGAGCAACTATGAAGGCCGGCTCGTACACACAAGGGGGTGGGGTGGACAGCATCACGCCCGACCGCCTTTGTCTCCCTGGTGGCGATGTTTATACACTTCCCCAGGTAATCATTTGAGGCTGAGTCGACCTAGGAGAGGCCCATGCCCGGTTCAGATACTCGTCATTGGTGCTGGTGGCCGTGAACTGGAATTGAAATTGGGTCATCGGTTTCGTAGCGCAGCGTAGCGCTAACCACCGCTCCCCGCAACACAGACACAAAGACATGTACACACACACATGCACACATCTGCATGCACAAGCATTAACACACAGCACGTGCACCCAACAGAAGATTTACTTTGTACATCAGGGGAGGAGGAAACGGAGGGAGAATTCGTGAATTGTGAAGTCGGCAAAAGCCTCCATTATCCTCCCCGCAGCCTTCACGCTTCCCACAAGGCCACATTCTTTTGTTCCCTGAAGGAATTTTCTCTTAAAACACGAGCAAGTGAGCGAGCGAGAGAGAGAATTCCTCTGCAAGGGAAGTGTATCTACCAGCCGACACTAAAATATACAATACTGTACTTGCGCATTCCTTCCCAGAAGCACGCCCCGATTGCGGCGCAATATATTCCCCCTCACTCTTTAAACGCTAAACAGGCAACCTCATAATTTATTGCCGAAGATTTGAAGGAAAAAAATATGTGTTCTGGTCGCCCATCTTGAGCCATATGTTGTGTCAGGGTTAGGGCTCGCATTGAGGCACCCTGTCTGAAAATGACAAACGTTGTGAGACATTTTTTTTATCATTAATATTTACATCAGCCTCGGGTTCCAGATATGCATTTTACGGCAGCTGTCTGCGTGCGTCTGGGAAAAAATAAAAGAAGGGAAGGAGTGGGAGAATAGAGGAAAGGGATGGAAAAGTAACGGATAAATGGAACCAAAAGGTCAGGAGAGGCGAGGATCGGGGGAGGGAGGCTTCGCGAGGGCCTCACCGCTGCTAGGCGGAGCGGCTGCGTCTGCGTTCACAGCGGCCAGCGGGGAGAGTGGAGTGGGGAGCGGTCGTGTAGTGGTTGGCGCGCTGCGCTACAAACCCGATGACCCGAGTTCTATTCCCGCTGACGGCCAACACCAGCGACAATCATCTGAACCGGTCCTGGGCGTCCCCTAGGTTGACTCAGCCTCAAATGATTACCTGGTGCGATGTGTACAAACATGGCCGCTTGGAAAACAAAGGCGGCCGGGGGTGGTGCTGGCCACCCACCCCCTCGTGCGCTGTTCCAGCATTCACCATTGCTCGCTAACAGCACTTGCCCCAACAGTCTGTTAATGCTATACTGGAGGGTTTTTGTTATTGTATATTGAACTTCTTTCACACCGTACATCGGGATGGGAAAATCTGCAGATAATTGCAGATAAAAGAAGGGATCTGGGAGTGGATAATTTGAGTTTTCATGGACCCCACAGATCGTGCGGATAATGGGGTCGCAGATAGGAGGTGTTCCCTACCAATGCTGTCCTGTAGTTTCCCACAGACACACGAATAACTAGAACTGCCCAAAACTGTGAACTTGGTTCAGCGGCAAAACTTGTCATTATGCAGTCAAAATGGCTTGCTCAGGGGCCTCGTCTTTGATACAAATGTAAAATATAAAAACAGAAAGTTTGCGTTTCTGTCTTTCCCATTTCCAGCTGTGTAGCTGTCGTCATCAGTAATTTGTTTGGCACGACCATGACAATCGTAATGCCCTGAATCCAGGAAAGCCTGACTCCGACCACTCTTCTTCGTGAGGGTTCTGCTACGTTGGGAAGTTGCTTGGCTTCATCATATTGGTAGAAACCGAATAAAACTCACGCAAACAACGTCAAATTGCCACACAGAT